AATACCCGGGAACGGCACAATAACAGATTGCATCTTCATGCCTATGTACACAGGGGCAGAGACAGGATTACACAGGCAGCCTTCATACCAGTGTGTTGTAACTGCTCTGCAGTTATAAACACTTGACTTAGCAGCCATAAGAATACTCCTTCAGTGCCTAGAATGCTTGTAATTCCCTGTCTTTTTAACAAAGCAAGCTAAAAAGATGGAAACACAGTATTGTTACCTTTGTGTGATTCACCACAATGAACTTGTATATCCAGCTCACAAGGCCTTAGCACTTGAACTGACTAATTGGTATCATAAGCAGCACTGGTCCCATCTGGACCAGTGACAGATGCTTGGCTAGGAGCTTTCACAGCTCTCTTCTGACACCAGAATAATAAACAGCAAGTCTTGACCCATCTCAGGCCTAAGGGCGATGCTGCTCAGCAGCCACATCCTGTAATGCCCGTTTTGCCCACACTGAGAGGCTTCTGCCCTATGTGCACCACCCTCTCCACTTCTCCACATCCTGCTGCTCCTCCTCTCACTCTGCACTAACAGAATCCTCACTTGTACTCGTTGTACTTCTTCACTTGGCCAAATCTTCATCACTTGGTGAAGCTCTATAGAGTAGAAATCCAACCGCTACATGCAAAGATCTGACCTGTGGCTTCCTGAAACACAGGTGAAGAGGTTGAACAAGCATTCTGGAAGTATCATTGCACTCTTAGCTTGTTCTTGCCCTTTCCTTGACAGCTTCTTTCACCACTGAGTCAGGATGCCAGGTTAGTTGTACCCTGATTTAATCCAGCACAGCTGCTGTTACATCTACACCCCAGCCCTGTGGATACCTGCACCCAGTTCCTCTTTGCCCAGCCTGTGACACTTCTCCACTCCATCCCCTTGCCAGCCTCACTCCCAGATGAAGTCACTTAAGGGAATACTATCAAATACGTCCCTGCTGACCACATTCAAACTCCAGATTTTATTCAAAGGTTTGGAACTTAGTCAAAGCCGCTCAGTGTGGGCAAAAAAAACCAAAACCCACCACCTCCAACCTAGTCATTCACTCTTGAAAATCTTCACTGACCCAGCTCTACTACAATGCCAGAACTTCAAAGAACAGGCTAAATATACTTTTAAATAATTGACCTGAAGAAAAAAGCATTTTTCTTAGAGTTGCTCACAGCAAAGACCAAAGAAGGGAGATAAATTATTGCATCCAGAACACACTGCATAAAACAGATGCCTGGAAAATAAACTCTCATCCCAAACACCTACAAAGTTTAGCAGAGTTATAAGCAATTGCAAACAGTGTCTCCTGATAGGAAGTGTCAGGCTGCCTCAAAAGGCATATAGGATAAAGGCATAAAAAAGAAAGCATCATGCTGCCTGCACCTACCCACACTCATGTAAAAACTCACATGCCCAGAGCATCACTCTAAAGTGAGGGAAATAATCAGGGGAGCACTGGTTAAACATTTCTATTTGCCAAATTTTCCAGTAAACATCCCTCTCAAACAAAACCAGGGAAATCATGACACTGCTTTCCATTCTGTAAATATTTACATTTAGCAAAAATGCAAAAAAATGTTTTGTTTAGGAGCAGCAGGGAATGTTTTAATGGTTAAGTGAAATTTTTGAGTTTGAAAAATGTTTGTCCCCTGAGTACCCATCACAGTAAGCAAGTTATCAAAGCTGATAAAAATGGCAGCTGCATTTCCCAAAAGAAGGACGTTGGGGGAGGGAAAAATTATTTTCTTCAGGATGGTCCCAAAATTCTTTTAGTTTTTATTTTAAAAAAGTAGATCTTTTCAGACCATTACTTCCTACCACCCCCGAGTTTCACATTAAAAACCCACAGCAGTGCAAGTTAGTGAAGGTCCAGATTTCCACCCTCCTGCAGTTTGTTCACTGTTACCTGAAGGAAGCAGCAAGGCTGTTGAAGAAATAAAGCATTTTTCTTAGAAAAAGGGCAGAATGGAGCTCTTGGCTCTGGCAGCAACACTGCATGCCAAGCTACAGCTCCACTTCATGGCATTTTCACCCATGCATTAACATTCAAACCCAACGTAAATCTCGCATTTACTTGTACTAGAAGCTTTAGAGAGCTGCAAAAACATTTAAAATATTTCTAATCCTCTTAGTAGGTATAGAAGATATCAAGGTAGATTATGTTTCCCCACTATCAGACCTACTTTAAGATTAAAGACTTTGGGTTTCTTCACCTCTTTGTTAATCAGAAAGCAAATCCACTACTTGTATTACGAAATAAGAAAACCAGACAAAACTAAAGCTTAATTGCTTGGTGACAAATCCATCCTTTTTTGCTGTTTAGAGATCTGATACCTTGAGACAGTACATTCCAAGAAAATATCAATATACAAGACACTCCTAAAATAGTAAAATGAGAAAGGCAAGACTGCAGGTCTCCAGGACAAGGTTTATCTCTGTGCCGTGTGTTTGAGCACCGTGTTACATGTGGACTGAACAGGGAAGCACAAACCATATCACTATGAAATCAATAAGCAGTAGCAGCCTTAGAGATGAAAAAACACTGACCAGGTCACCCAGTCACTGCCAGTCTGTTCCCAGCTGTGCACTTTAAAGGATTAAATGCCAGTATCTTGAAATATATATAGAAAATAACCATGCAGTGAATATATCGTTTCAGGGTTAGTACCACAGAAATACTACAAGGTGCAAACAACTGCCACAAGAGCTCTGTCCATCTGCTCTGATAACTGCCCTGCTTCTTAAGCTTCCCCCAAGACAAATGATTGTGACAGTCTGCACAACGATTTTGTGACATGGACAGTCACAGTAGGGAAAAAGTCTATTTTTAGATCTCATCCTCCATCTGCTCACATACAATTCCGCTTGGATATGAAGTCTCTCTGCTCACAGTTTCTCTTCTGCACTCAGTCTTACTACAAACATCTCATTTGGAGCCCCAGGTAGCTCTGGAAAACATCTTCATAAACAAATAGCTAGGAAAAGAATGTGCTGTGCTGTTCAAAACAAGACCTTACATGTGAGCCTAGAAAAGCTTTATTACTGGAGATAGCAGACCAGTAATAAATGTTTTTAATGTAATAAAATGTTAATATATGTTTATAAAGGGTCACATGTAGCTCACCCCATGAACACAAGCTGCTGGCTTTTATAGACAATCCAGAGCCTTCACTCTGGTGAAATAATGAAAACCTCTTTTAATACCACCCACCACCTACGAGCCCCCAGATACAACCATTTCACAGATATTCCTGGCTCCTCCAGGAATCCCAATTCATTTACCTTGTAGAAAAGTGCATGGCAAATGAAGAGCCTTCACAAGGTTGGGTACTCCACAAGCAACACTGACAAGCCAGCTCAGGCTTGCAAAGAAACATGAAATACTCTGGTTGGTATGGAGTGGCTCACAATCCACGACATCCAGTTAACCCCATAAGCAACCAGAGAAACAAGCTGTGCATTTTAAGCATAACAGGTATTTGGGTACTTTTATTTTAGAGTGCACATGACTGTCAGAGTACTGAAAGCTAACAGTAAGAAAAATGCACAACAACCCTCAAGTTTCTTCATAAGATATTAAGATGGGCAGCCACAAACAAAGACCATTTCTGGAAACCAGGGCCACTGTGTGTTTTCTCCCTCCAAGTCATGAGAGAAGATGCCAATCAGGTTCCTGACACCTAAATGCAGACGTACAGCAAATATCAGGACATTTTTAATGTCTCACCTTTACATGTCTCAGCAGCCAGACACGTAGAAACATGAAATAAGAGATAGTGTGATTCATGGGAGAACCCAAACAGATGATCTTGGAACAGGAGTCCCAGCTCTACCACTGCAACCCAGCTGTGCCAGTCACTGCCAGCATGCAGAGCAGGACAAACACTGCAAGCTCTCCTCTTGTGGGCACTGACACTTTGTTACAGCTAGACAGCACCTTGCCCTTCAACTACACCTCTACAAGCACTTCCACATCTCTAAACAGGCCTCCTACTGACATATCATACAAAATCCCTGCAGCAACTACAAACACAGCCTCCTACATCAGCACAGCATTTAGGACATACCTGTGACCAGGTCAGCAGTGGAAATTATGAGGAGGGAGTCTCCATTGTGCAGGCAGCTTCCTAATTTTGCCACCAACAGGAACATTTGCCACCTTCACAAAGGGGCAAAAGGGGGATGGACAGGTGCAATAGAACATTTCTTGGTGCACTTAAGTACTCATGGCATGGGTTTAGCAGAATCACTAATTCAATTCTGAGCTTCTACAAATTCCTGAGCTAAACTGCTCCTGTCAAAAGCTCTTTGCAAGATTCCAAGCCCATTCGTCTGGAGTGACATCTACTACATTATGCTGTCAAACATCAGACCACAGTCAACACTTCAGACATGCTGGATTAGGTCCAGCAGAGACACATACTGGTATGGAAAGTACTAATAGAAGCTCAAAGTTTGCCCAAGTAACACAATTACTTTGGGAAGAGGTCACCAGCCTACTCAGCCTACCAAAACAGATTTCCTCTGCTAAACATCAGCATTTTCTACCGTGACAAAAACACCTGAGAAATACCAGCATAAATAATTTAATCAAACTTAAAGGGAAAAACAGGTAAACAAAAAGCCCTGCCTGCATTCAAATCACATGTAAACAGCACATGTGTTAAAAGCTAAAAAAGCCAGCAGCATAATCACAGATCAGGACAGAATGGAATGTCTTTGTTTACTGCTTCTAGTAGCATCAAGACAGTTAATCTATTTGATTAATCTCCCACCACTACAGATCCTATCCATCTGATGACATGGCAATTTGAAAACCTCACTTGTGCTGTCACAAACATGAAGTCTTCAGGGGAAACACAGACTCAGGATAAAAAGAGGAAGTTCCTTTTAAAAGGTGTCACTTGGAAGCATCAAACATCTCTACAGATCCCCAGCATTACATACACATTTACTGCATCTTCAGAAGAAATAACTACAAAAAAAAAAAGCCATGTTACCTGGAGCATCAGTTCACAGTCATCTCTCCCAACAAATATCATCTCCCGAGGGAGCCGATGGCGAATGCCAGTGCTGCTCACCAAGAACCACGAAGTCACGCTCATTTTGGCGCTTGGCACTTAACCTTTATACATCCTAAACACAAAAAAACCCACAAGACACAGTTAGCTATTAATGAAGTGTGCAAGTACAAGAGTGTGTAGCTGCCATTCCCAAATTTCCCTCTACCGTGGGACCCAACGCTGCCTCATGCACTTGTGTTCCTATCTTAAATCTCTGGTGACAACAAGCAGTTGTTGTGAAGTGTCTGCCAGGACCTGCTGCCCATGTGTAGGAGCTCTGCAGACCTGGAAATATTCCCATGGCAAAGTAAGACTAAGGATCTGCAGAAAGGATTGTTTAAAAAATTGAAGGATCCAGCTGAATTCAATGAATGAAATGATGAAATATGGTGGAGGGGAAAAAGGAGAAAACAACAAAGATCTCCTTTCCGGAACATTTCCAGAACATTTTCCAGAACCACTACCACAGTGCTACACGGCTTGAGCCTTCCCCATCACCAGAGATGTGGACCAGCACATCACCGAGGTGACATAACGTGGCTCCTCTAACCTTTCTCAGCGCATTCCCAGGAGCGCTTACACCAGCGCTAGGAGGGAGGAGACCAACCTCCCCATTGCTCATCCCACATCCACACTGATGTAAGTTGGGAGCCCACAAATCCTTCCTTCCTTCCTTCCTTCCTCCCCCGCTGCACGGCTGGTCCAAACACCGAACCGCTCTGCGACCCCAGGTCAGGAAGCCCAGGCTGCGGTTGATTCCCAGCGGGGCTCGGTGCCCAGCGGGCGGAGGGGCGGCAGCGCTGACCGGCGTGCGGCACTCACCGGGCGCTCTCCCGGCCACACCTGTTTGTTGTCGCTGCTCCTGCGGCCTCTCCGCCTGCCTCTCCCACAACATCCCATTTTCCCCTGCCTGGCTGAAGGAAGGAGGATTCACGGCACACGCCAGGCTCTCGCCTTCCCCTCACCCACCTCCCGGGCTCCCAGCTGCATTCCTAAGCGCACCGGGGGAAGGAGATCTCCATTTTCCCCGGGCTGCGCGGCGCTCCCCGGCCCGACCGCCGCCTCAGCAGCCTCAGCGGCCGCGGGGCGCTCAGGTGGGGATGAGTGCCCTCCGCGGGGACCGGGCACAGCCCGCACGGCCCCCGCCGCCTCCCCGCCGCTCCGGGAGCCGCCGCTCCGCGCTGCCGCGCCCGTGTCACGACACGCGAGCGGCCCCACACACCGCGGCCCCGACAAAGCGCCTGGGAAGGGGAGCCGGGAGCCGCCGGCAGAGCCCTTTGTGTGCCGGCCCCGCGGCCCCCGCCCGTCCGTCCGTCCGTCCGTCCTACCTGCTGCGGCCCTCGGCGCGGTGGCAGCCGGGCACCGCGCCCCGCCAGCCGGCTCTGCCTGCCCCGCGGGCCGCTCCCGGCGCCCGCCCCGCTCCGCCCCCGCGCCGCAGGTTCCCGACGTCAGGAGGCGGCTCCAGCCCTGCCGGGCCCGGCCGGGGGAGGCGGCGGTGCCGCGGCGGGTCCCGCACCCGGCTCGCCGGGCACCTGGGCGGAAGGTGCTGGCCTGGCTTTGGGTCGTGTCGTCGCTGCAGGGACACAACCGTGGCATGGGTTGGGTTGGAAGGGGCCGTAAAGGTCATCTACCGTAAAGGTCATCTACCTTAGAGGTCATTACCCTGCCACCATGGGCGGGGATGCCAACCACTAGACCAGGTTGCTCAAAGGCGTATCCAGCCTGGCATTGAACATCTCCAGGGATGGGGCATCCACAGCTTCTCCAGGAAGCCTCTGGCAGTGCCATACCCTGGTTCAGCATCCCTCCCTTCAGGCTCTCAGAGGGGCTCAGTGAATGCCAGCAGAGCCTCTGGCACCTCACTGACCAGGGCAGCCTGGGAAGGTCCAACATGCAGGCTTGGTGCCATGAGACTGGAGATGCTGCCTCTGCAAGACACCGGGACCAGACCCAACACCAGGGAGGTCCAGCACCAGCCTCTTCTCCCACTCAAGTCCCAACACCAGCTGCTTCTCCAGCCCAAATCCCAGCACAGCCTCTCCAGCCACCCAAGTGTGCCTCAGCACCAGTCTGTCTCTCCAGCAGGCTGCAGGTTGGCATCCATCTCCACATACCCTCCTTGTCCTCTTGCAGGGCAGTACCTAAATGCAGTTGGCAGGATTGAGTTAATCTTGATCATCTAACCATGGAATAAGAGCCTGAAATGGGTGCTGTGAAAGGATGAGTTCTTTTCATTTTATGAGTTCTTTTCAGTTGTAGGTAACTAGAAAATTCTGAACAATTTCAGAATTTTGTGTAAGTGCAGCGAGTGATGACTTTTTCTCCCATTGTGAGGAGCATTGAATATCATGGTAAAGCTTTCTCAAGAGGGCCCCAGCTCCTGCAGATGTCAGTGGAGCTGCAAAGAGCAGCAGCTGAACACTGGTTCTCTGACACAGGCTGTTAAAGGAAGACTATAGGAACACATCAAGTTCATAGTGATGTCTCCCCAGGCTGATATTCCAGCTGGAAAGACAGCTTTGCTTTTGTACTCTGTACAGTTGGGTTTGAGTATTGTTTCTGTCATCTGCAAGAACTTTTCTTGGTGTCTTCAGTTGTGTGTACTTTGGAATTTTGGCTCAGGATGAATCTTAATAAAGTCTGATGGCATGGAAGCCACAGGTCTGGCACACCACTTGCAGGGGGTGGCCCTTTGGCACATCACTTTGTGGGCTTACCCCTGATTTATACTTTTGCTGCAAGGCTGAGGAGCCAGGAAGGGCAAAGTGAACTGCAGCAGGAAGGGCAAACTGCAGCAGGACTGCAAGGAGGGAAGGAAAACAGCATTTCTTCCTTTTCCTCCTCTTTCTGAAGAGCAGTAGGACTTTGTTATTATTTAATTAATGGTATTATTGCCTTCTTTAAATCAACATTTGACTTCTTTCTTGGCAGATACGTCATGCCCCAGAGTGATTTCAGGGTATCATTATCTTCAAAGTCTTGGAAGCTGGCTGAGCTGCAGCATCTGTGTTTTATTGAAGTGCTCTTGGTCTCTGCTTGGAGCAGAGCACCACACCCTAGCAGCATGCCATGTCCCTCAGACACCAGGCAGGAGGATGGAGGGAGCAGCTGCCACTTCCAGGGCACTTTGAAGGCTTTTATACTGAGTGCTGCCATCAAGTAATAGAAATCCTTTATAAATAAAAATGGATTTCTGCCCTATTTTGCCAGCTCATCCTGTCATTGAATGATGTTTTATTATTGGTTTAACTGACCTATAGCTAAAGTTTTTATATATATTATTCACTTCTTTATGAACTACATCTATTTACTGGAGAGGCTGCTCTATGAACTAATCTGTAGAGCATCTCTAAACTCCTCGAAGGAAGTAGGATAATTTACTTCTTTATACAAGCCTGCCATCTAGGCAAATCTTTGTTATAAGTTGCTATAAAAAGGTTAGTGTTTGCTTTAGTCTCTCTTTAAGCCCAGCTTTACCATGCATTTATCCATGTGTATTTACTTGAGCAGTCAGTCAGTACTTCAATGTTTATAGGGAAGAAAAAAAGTCCCTGTTCCCACCATGTGTCTTCTGACCTGGCTGAAGATGAAGTTTGGGCCAATACCCTGGGCCTGGCTGAATGCTGCATTGCAGCCTCTTTATTTTACTCCAGTGATCTAAAAGGAATAAAAAAGATAATAAGTGGTGTCTTTCCTTGTCCTCTCTCCTCACCCCTCCAAAAAGAGTGTGTGGGCAGCATATCCTGGTGCTACACTGTCATCTTTAAATCACACTCAGAGCATGTGTCCATGGGGAAAACAAGCTGTTGCACTGCTGTACTTTGAGTTTTACATTTTTTTTTCATATTGAAACAAGACCTTTTGGCAGGCAGTTTAGCCCTTGGGCTGCTCAACCCCCCAGGCTAGCCAAACACACAACTGTCTTGGAAAACACAACCCCATAAAAATGACATAAAAGCACTTCTTCCTGCTGGGAGGAGGAAAGGCCAGGGAAAGGCCTCACTAAGTTGGGTGTAGCAGCAGCACCATGTGGCTCACACTAAATTTGGGGCATATGTTTATCGTGCAAATCCCTCTACATTCATCTACAGCACTGTCACCTTCAGCTAGAGGCGACACGCTCACAGCTGTGTTAGCCTGCATGGCCCAGGTGGCAGGAGGTTCACTGCTCTGTACGCTGTGCAGATGCAGAGTAAGGGGACCAGTCCCTGTCCCAGAGCACTCATATTCCCACTAAACAAGGAGATTGAGGGCAAGGTAAAATGTCCAGGCAGAAGAATAACAGGTCACAGGGCAATCTGTATCCAGAGCTGTTGAATCAGGTCCTCTGCTCCACTAAAATACTTTGACATCCTGAACCCACAGCTTGGAGCAAAACCACTTTAGATCCCTGCTTCAAAACAAAGATCCCACCATCCCCAAAGGAGCTGAGCTAAATCAAGTTCTTGCTGGCAGGCTCAGAAGTGAAGGAGATTTTTGACAGAGTTGCCAAACAAGAGCTGCATCTTGCTGCAGAGGAGGCTTCTGTTCCAGAGCGATCACAGCCTGATCCAGATGTCCTGTTTGGCTTCCCCTCTGAGGGGCAGTTTTCCTTCTCCATGAGCTAGATATCAATATGCTGGATAGCTTAGAGATGAAGGTGTGCAGGACTGCTAAGTGAACCTGGCCTGGTTAACTCTTTGCAGGCTGGCTGAAATCCACTGTGCACAGCTGTATGCGCACACATTCATGAGTGCAAGTGCAGCTCGTGAATTCCTGATTACTTTGCATCCAAGGGCTGTAGAAGTAGCTGTCAGTCACTGTTCCCCGAGATTATTTCATTTGTTCTTTGTTAACTCACTTTGAGAAGCATCAGGAGAGGTTCACAAGTAGGTCACGCAGGGTTTCTTAACCACTTCTTCATTCAAATGGATTCCACTCCTCAGTGATTACTTTCTTTCCCAGAAAACCAAAATTGGACACATGCCAGCTCTTTGAGCCCTGCTGCAGGGAGATGTGTGCCTGCAGCATTCTCACTTCAGGTCAGGATTTCTGCCTGGATT